TTAAAATTGCATTTATTTCAGACAATTATAAATATTATCATTATATTATCAAGTAAAAACGAGATTTTCAGCTAATTTTTCATTTTTTCCTCGATAACCATTTAGTGAATTTGAATAACCTTACGCTAAAGTGATTTTCCAGAGTTCAAGTTATTTATTATAAAAGTTTGAAATTTCTGGTAGCTTTTTGACGTATAAAATTACAATTTTTTAAAATTTCAATAACTTTTTAACGGTTTAGTGGATCGATTTGTAATTTTTACAGGAGTTGTAGAACTGAAAGAGGAACGTTCTTCCAAATTTTTATTTGTCTCATAGCACTTTAACATACCTCCCAAAAAACATCCTTAAATTACAAAAAGATGTTTTATTTTTGAGAAAAAATTAAAGTTATTATTACCAGGTAGTAAGAAATATTACTCTCTCCAACTTCTACATTTTAATAATATGTTAGGAAACTCTGGCATCATAAATCCTCCTTCATCGTGAAACAATAAAAAGTATATTATACAGATTTCACCCGAAAAGCTCTGCTTCCGAGAGTTTCGTATTTGAAAAGTTTAAAGGGTAAAACCCATTGGGACTCTAAATGAATTGGACCAAGTTGCAATCCTTGTCCTATTTCACTAAAGCCTCATTTTTACCTCTTTATTCTCTTTCGTCCTTCCGTAATTGTTCCCTTTTTTCATTAAATATTCATAGCTGCTCTTTATTGTTAGTTTGCCCTCTGCGTTGACCGACTTGTTTTCACTCCTAATGGTCCCTCTTCGTCAAGCAATAAAGGAAATTATGCAAAAATTATTAATTTCAACTTCATCAGCTTTCGGGCAATGAGGTGTCATTTGTAAAATAAACAGCTAATTTTGGGACCTTTTCTCTTTTCGCCTTAATTAAATGTGAAATTTATTCCGGAGAATAAAGAACCTATAAGCTGAGGATCCTCGTTATGACCAAATATTTCAGTACCTTTATCTCAAATATGTATAGGTACGAAAACATTTGAAGTTTACCTTGGTGTGACCTATCCATTTTGTGATCTAAAGTAATAACCCTTTTTGTAATGACGAATATAGCTAGTACATTATGTGTGCTGTTCTGATTATCCAAGGTTCTTCACAGTTCCTTAATCGTCAGATAATCACAAAAAATCCCAATGGATTTTGTTGAAATGTAAGTGCGTATATATATACGTGAAAAAGTTCAGTTTTCATTACCTACATAAAAATTCCCTATTGGAACGAACTTCCTTATCTCATGTTACCGCGGCAGAGAGCTAACCAGCAAAAATTACTACTTTTTTTACCGAAATTTCCTTATATTTCCCCGGAGACTCTTCTGGCGAAAAAGGATGTTTAAACAAAAGAGAATTCCTTTGACGCAAAGAAGGAAGACTTGTTTTTCTTTAGTTATTCACAATTATTGACTGAAGTGGACAAGTATTGTCAATAACTATTTCTCTCAATTTAAGGCAAACATAGATCATTTCCATTAATTAGTTTAAATATTAAAACAGCGGAAGTTTTGTTGAATCAACTGTTTCTTCTTGTTGTTCCGTTTGTTTTGAAGATTAACCTTCAAAGAAAGATTTGATACTTAAAAGAAAACTTTATGTCTATTTCCTAGATTTTTTGGAAGATACAAACAAACCGGTTTAACAAAAACTTTCGGTAAAAGTTAGCAGTAGGCTTTTGTCGTTTCAATATATGTACAAACAGTTCATTGTTTTGATAATGCGGAGAGTTCTTCAAAAGCTTTGTGATTTAAATTTCTTTCAATACCAACTTTTTCCGTTGTATAAAGAGCAGTTTTCTGATTCTACCTGATCGCATTTTAAACGTTCCCGGAGTTAGACCGAAAATTTATTTGAAAAAGTTTTCACTTCTGTAAATATAAAGAAGAAAAATTGATCGAGGTGCGAACGTTTCGTTGAAAAACGGTGGAAAGGGAAGTTTTAATGGCATCTTGGCTTTACTACGTGGTAGTTGAACAGTTAACGAAGTAACTAAATATCTTCGGCCTTGCGTCCTATCTACGCTTGTCCACGTTCCTCCGCGATGGGAAAGAAAGAGGGTCATGCTGAGCGAAAAATGCAGTCATATTGGATTTAATTAAACTGAGGAGGAAACTTTTAACGACTAGTGCCATTGAGAAAAGTTTTTATTGTAGTTCTGGAACAAATTCCACCTTAACAGTCCTTATATACTACTGAAGCTTAATTGACGAGGTGGGCTGACGTTTGTATTTACATGAAACTTGCTCTTGTAAACATTATTTAACTGACATAACTTACTGCCAACTCTAAGATTCTAACTTTTTGATCTTCCGCTAACACTTAACTCTTTAACCTTGTTTACGTACAAACTGTACTTTTTTAAGTCAAATTCAAAGTACGTACGCAATTCCTTGAAACATGGAATCTAACTGAATTTTGTGTTTTTCCAAAAATGATTTATTTATTAATGAATATCTATTTTGTCCTCTTCAAAGTAATCCCCACTAGATATTATACACTTGTGCCAACGTTTTTTCTAATCTTCGAAGCACTTCAAAAAATCATTTTTTTGTGATCTTGTTCAGTTCCTCCTTCGAGGACGTCTCTGTCTCCTGAATCGTAGAGTAACGATGTCATTTCATGGGCCTCTTCAGTTTCGGGAACAAGAAAATGTCACACTGGGCCAGATCTGAGGAATACGGTGGGTGCGGCGTGTGTAGTTTTTGGCCAAAACTTTGAGCACAAGCAACGATGTGTAACCAAGAGCGTTATCATTGTGCAAAAGCCAATTTTTGTTCTTCTTGCGCAAATTGTGAAGGTAATATCCCTTATTGACCGTATTACCCAGTGGCAAGAACTCATGATGCACCACGCTCCTGCAATCGAAGAAAACTGTAAGAAAACTTCCACAATCGACCTAACTTGGCGCGCTTTTTTCGGTCTTGGCTCGTGCCGCAGCTTCCAATGGGATGATTGAGCTTTGGTTTCCACGTTATGACGATAAACCCAAGATTCGTCACCAGTTATAACCCTCTAGAGCAAATTTGATCCAATTTTTAGAATAGGCAAAAATCCAAGACGAGCCAAAACACGTGCAAGCAAAGCAGCTGTCAAATTAACTGAACATTCAACATAGCCGAACTTGTTGGTATAAGATGAGAGACATGAGTACCAACATAACGCTACAAAATAATCGAAAATTCGCGATACTTTTTGAACAGACCCCGTATAACTTCATCTAAATGAATATGATTACGTAAAAGTGTTCCATTTTGCCACAACCCCAAAAAGTTACGTTTGAAATGGACTTACCTTCCAGTCATCAACTCGAACATCAATATTCCCAAAGCCCAGTAATCAACAGCCCTGTCGTGACCCTTATTCAAAATGGTTTCCGGCGCAACGTATTCAGGCGTACCACAAAACGTCCACGTCTTGCTGCTGTATCCTAAACGTTTCGAGAAACCAAAGTCGCAGATCTTCACGTATCCCTGCGCGTCCAATAGGAGATTTTCCGGCTTCAGATCTCTGTAGATAATGCCGCGTGTGTGTAAATAGTCGAAAGCTTCTACAACACAGGCTGTGATGAAACGGGTCGTAGGCTCATCGAAACAACCCCTGTCGCGGAGTATGGTCCACACTTCACCCCCCAAACATGCTTCCAATAGCATGTACACGTATTTCGAGTCTTTGAAAGTCTTATATAGTCTGAAAAAAAATATGAACCACCTACAATTAAATTAAAACATTTAACGCAAACAGTGAAAGATACAAAGAGTTTGATGTTTAATTATTTTGAAACATTAATGTGAATTAATATGCAACCCTCTACAGATTAATACCCAAATTAATGAGCAAAAATTGTTGCTCCTGTCAGACTTGTCAGGAATCTCTAGAGAGTGGAATATTAATTCTTATTAATGTTTAAAAATAGACCGACAGACACACGAGTGGTTCTATAAGGGTTCTGTTTTTCATTCGGACGTGCGGAACCCTAATCCGAGAACCAATCACATTGCAGTTAAAAACAAACATGTTTTCCTATACATTTAAACTACAAATGTAGATAGATTCTTATTAACATTCCAGCAATCTATAAATAAAGAACTATTTTCCGTATTTTTTTTTTAAATTTTAGATTCAGTAGTTTCGGAGATAAGGGCGAGGGGGAGGGGACTGGTCAATTATCATTTTAAAATTACAAAAAAAATATGTTTGAGACCCTTACAACAACCCTCTTCGTTTTATATGTCACACGGTACAGTTTGCAAAAATTTTTTTTTTATTTTTCTATTAGCCCCCCAAAAATAACTCCCATGTTCAAAATTAATTTATTTACGTTATGGGNGAAGGTCTAGTCAGAGACATATTAGAGGCAGAAACAGGAGTTAGGGGGGGTAGAGGTAGACCTAAATTAGATTACTGTTCGCAAATAGTTAAGGATGTGGGTTGTTCTAGTTTTGGGGAAATGCGAATATTAGCTTATGATCAATTCAATGTAAATGTTTTGGTAGGTGTTACACTTTATTCAAACAATTTTGAGATTTCGGTTTCTTTAAAACAGTTTTTAGAAAAGCGGCTAATATTTTCAGAGAGACGTGCAACTTCATGTTCGGTAAACGCATTGCCTTACCCGTACATTACTAATTCAATCAGTGTGTTTACCCCCAATAGAGAACTCCTTCGAGGTTTACTACAAGGTAAATATTCGTGTGTAGATATAATATTCCTTAGGGCGCTTACTGTCTAATAATTTATTAAAATGAAAGCTTTTGTGATTGTTCCAACTAATGGATTTCACACTTAAGTTGTGTATAAAGTGGAAGTCATCGAAAAATATTTTCGAATAAAGTCGTAAATTACTCAAAAACTAAACGTTGATGCTATTTCCTTTTTAATATTCGTAAATTAAAACTAACCCAGATATTAAAAGTCATATCACCATTCCTCAAACAAATAATGAATTACTTAAGTATGTTAGATGTAATGAAATTTGAAACATATTATTGGTAGTCTGAGATAGTAAAATAAGAACTGCCCCATTGCACCTGCAACTCGATGAAAATGAAAATAACAAGAACTAACAGAAAATCAGAACCAAATGTAAAAATAGCAACAATATGCTAATATTTGACACAAATACACAAAAACTTCGAAGTTCTTATTGTGAAACAAATTAAATCCTAATACAAACAGAAATGTATAGGTTTAATTCTTGTTAACGATAATGAAGATAGTTAAGTGACCCAGCGAATCCACCAAAACTTTTAAGCAACGCATATATTAACTTCTACTGATTATTTTGTCGGAAAAACCTGTGAAAATTTGATGTCTATTTTAATTTTACTTTTCATATAAAACATTTGTGATCCATCAATGATCGAATCAATTTATTTCGCTTTAAATTATTGGATTGAAAGAGGATTATTTTATTATTTTCTTCCACATGTCTTTCACCATACAACGATTTGTTTTATACTCCTTTTCGATCTACGGCAAAATCTGCACATTATGGAAATCTCCTATAATGTTACCAGCACTTTAATCATACTAGGTCTCCCTACACCAATGAAAACGAATGTTTAGTGCAATAAATATCGGTGTTTTGTGATTGTTGTTGGGCCATTTTTTCTAAACCCCTGATAAGCATATATTTGGTACTTTGGTACAGGCGTATTAGCTTTAGATAAGCAAGAACAAGTACGCTGTCAGTGGTAGTAAGAACTTAAAAGGGGTTCTCTTATGTTATTGACCTTGTTTTTCTAAATTGACCCTACTGCTTAGCACATAGTGTTTTTATTTTAACTTTTCTATGTTCTTTTATTCTATTTCAACGGAATGTATCTGTTTGACCAATATACATACGTTTTGCGAAAATCAAAGCACCATGGTGAATAAATTGACCTATTTTTTTAGTGATGCACCTATCGCTATAATTCTAACATAGTTTCCTAAACATTTACTTGTTTTAACATAAACTTCTTAAGATTTTAAATAATTACATCTTAACTAGAAAATTTATTCTCCCCGGTCGAAACCATTGGAGAGCTTTTGCTAAAAAATTTTTAGTTGAAACATTAGCTTCTATTTTGTTTAATAAATATGACCATTGTATTTAGTTTCAAGTTTACTATTCCTCTAACCTGGATAATCTACCTTGTGAAATAATTACTGTGGGTTACTACTACCTAAAAATTATCTATATATTCCCAATGGGCATTACTTAGACTGACTGTGGTATGATGATATCTAATAATAAGATCTAAATCGCAATCTAGGACTACATCTGCTTTTTCTCTCTATCAACTCATATCAAATACCGATAAAACGAGCGCAAGTTTTAGTATATAAATATCCTTTGAAAACTTCTGTATTTGACAGCTGTGGAAATTGCATAAAAAAATGTACAAGGACTCACCGTTCATATTTGAAGGGTTTCTCCCGTTTAATTTTTGTCCTACAGGAGCGGCTCTTCTTTTTTCTTTGCCGACTCGCTGTGACCTCGTAAGGATAATAATGACATCGACACCATACTACCAACTTGTTCCTTCCGTCAATTTTGACTGAATCATCTGATGGCACCTCGCAATCGGCCTCATTACCACTGGAATCAAACGTTAATCCTTGAAATATGATGATCTAACGATCGAATACGATCGCACAATAGTCAAATGTAACCGAGAAAATTTATAAAACTCTGTTTACGAAAATCGGCTGGTTTATTTTCTTTTTGATGGTACTTAATTTTGTATTTTTTTTAGTCAAAAGAAAACTCTGATTAATAAAAGTTACGTAGAATAAGTGTTTGAAGTTTCTTTTTTTTAAATATGACAAAGCAAAAAAATTACAAAATCGTTCGTGACAGAATAGTGACATTTTGAAGTAGGTAAATAGGTAATTTTGGAAAATATATATGTACGTATGGCACCAGCAAAGTTTTGAGATTATCATCATTAGGTCCTCAGTCCTGAGACTGGTTGGACACGCATCTCCATTCTTCCCTATCCTGAAATAATCTTCGCATTTCCCCAAAACTAGAACAACCCACATCCTTAACTATTTGCGAACAGTAATCTAATCTAGGTCTACCTCTACTCCTCTCAACTCCTGTTTCTGCTCCTAATATGTCTTCGACTAGACCTTGAGATATCATTAAAAAATACTTAGCAATCTTGAAGATGAGTGTACCATCAATTCACACTAGTTTACATGCTCATTATATAGTTAAAAAAGTTTGCACGTTCTGGGTACCGCACTCATTGACAGCAGCCCAAATGGAGTATCGAATGAAATATCTTTTTTTTACAAATTATTTTCTTCTGCTCAAAGGGGATTTTGATCCAAGCGGCGGTCTTAGATTTATCTACTAAATTATTCAACTATCAATTATACCTGTTTTAATCAAATATTAATTTATTTTATGACGAACACTTACAATTAGTTTGATTTATAACCATAAATTTCGGAAGAATACATATTTGCATGAGCGAATAAAAGTAAAAAAAGAACAATACGCATTTTGTGTTATATTCGTTCATATAAGATTTTCTTCCTATTGTAATTAGAACTCTGTTTAAGTCAAACAGTTGAAGATGGACTTGACTTCATAATTAATTGATATAAAAATTACCTTTAGTTATACGTAATAGCAATATGTAATATGTAATAGAAATACGGTTAAGTTCACTCACAATCAGATATGTAGACAGATATACCTATGTATTATAATAGGACTAGCTCACTACGATATCAGCATGACAACTGGTAGATAGAGTGAGTAGTTTTATAGTTTTATGTTTGACTTTTTTGCAAGTCACATATCTTTATCTACCTATATATTGTACGTGTTTCATACCTTGTTGTGTTTAGGTACTATATGTATTATGATTAGTCAGATACAAAATTTATCTTAATCATGACAATAAAAAATGATAAAATTACTAGCTACTTTATAAAATTCTAAATAACATTAGTAACTCAGATGGATGTGTGACACGGCACTAGGTATTTTAGTACTTACTTAATAGAAAAATAAACAATTTATATAATTAAAAAAGTCGCCGATTTTTAGATAGGTATCCAGGAAGCCTGATAAGTTATTAGGATGGAAAAGCGGTGTAGACGTAAAACAAAGTGGGTACATATGCTACCGGAAATGTATGACATATAGGAATTGTATACAATTCCTAGGAAATGTGTGTAATTCCGAGGCTATTTAGGAAATCTATAAAATATTGTTTCAAACATTTTTTAAAACACACATATCCTAAGAATAAAGAAACGCGAAGGAAAATCTAAATTACGTTAGTGTATGCAAATGATTAGTGATGTTGACTATTCCAGTTTTAACGAAATTCGAAGATTGAATCAGGATTAGAAGGAAAATTGGCACATGCTCATCGGTCAATCTTTGGATTGATGGCCTTATCATGATGATGAGCTTAATTTTCAAAAGAAAAAGTGACAGAAAGTCAGTGCATGCGATTTAGACCTACAATTTTGCCTAACCTCCGATTTTTTTCAATCGTAATTCATATGGTTCAAGGATGTAAGAATTGAGTTAGGATGTGTTTCACGAGCACATTGGTTGAAGAAGTTTAAAATAATGTTGAAATTTATTTATTCAGATCTTACTGCTATACTCCTATAAAGCGTTTTGAAAATTGATTGATATTAGCTATGTGAAAAATGCTGTTATTACACTGTTTTTATAGTCACCAAAGCGCAAATAAAGCGATTGTTAAACTATATAGATTTACCTACCGTATAATTAAAAAATAATTCCTTATTGTTAAATCTCCAGTAACAATACCACTGGTGATAAGTATTATGAGACCTTTTGAAAAAACTAACCGGTAAAGAGAATAAACTGTTTTCTTTAGGATCAATAACCAAAAAAGGCTTTTTTATTTTGATTTGTAATAGACAAATAAATTTTGGCTAACATTCTGGAAAAACTAGCATTCGAATGTTTATCCATTGTTGTCATAAGTACTACGACTGCCTTGGTCCATTCTTCCCACCACAACCACCCACCCATCCCAACGATTCCTGTAAGGAGTGGAAAAAGGGCATCCGCCCTACACTCCGTATTTGCACTAAAGTGTAGGCCTCTCATAATTGATAATCATTTAGTTCTTAGTTAATACAAAATTTGAGTGTAAGAAAATAGGCGATATGATCTATTTTTGGGATAACTCTTTGAATTATCAAAATTAAAACATTAAAACTGAGGAATTAGTTATCAAAAAAACAAGAACTCTCTTTGGACAAAAAAGAACATTAATAATATAGTTTTTTAGAAGAAGGAAGTAATTACAATCTAATATCAGTAACTTTAATTGTACCTACCTATGGTTTTTTGTCACAATTTTTGAAGAAAGTATACTTTAAGATTTCTAAAGAACATTTTCATGACAAACTACCCATAAGTATTAGAAATTATCCTAATTTTTCGTTATCTACGTATATATATGAGCATATAGTATATTTCACGACCGATCATTTATTTATCACTAATAAGTTACCTGGAAACGTCTGCTACTGACAAGGGCACTATGATAAATAATATTCAAAAGGGTATTGTGTATAATGTAAACCAAGCCAATCACCCCTATAGTTACTGAGACAGGAAAATTCATTCGAATGAATAATTACTGAAAGCTTTGTATGGATATATATGCAACCTTTAAACAAAAGGAAACCGTTTTAATGACATGAAAATTTCGTATTAGGAAAAGTGCAATTAAAATACATATGATTTTGTGCAAAAGTAAAATGCAATTCAAAATATTCATAATAAGCATTCATTTTTGTAAATAGACGAAGTAAGTAATACCTTTGTAGTTCCGATACGTTTTGAAACTGATTTTAATATTTTTCACTAATTATAGTTAATAGTTATTTAATTGAACCGAGAAATTGTAATTAAAAAAAGGGAAAAACGTCTAGTGTTCGCATTGGAAAAATATCACAGAAATTATTAACAAAAAAAAAACAAAAAAATGAAAAAATATCTTTATAATTAAATTTATTTACAAAATTCATAGCCCGCGGTGGCAAAAGTAGGCAGTTTAAGGTATAAAGATTGCAGCCCTCTTTCTTCAGTATTCCTATCAGGGGCGTAGATTAAATATTTAAAAATAGGGATCAGTGAGCAAGTAATAGACCGACAAACAGAAGAACTAATTGTTGATGTTGGTGACAGTGATAGAGATTCCTATGATGACAGTGAATGTGAAAACTAACTATAAAACAAAAGCAATAGGTT